AAACAAACAGAACATTACTCTTTTTTCCAATGAGTTCAGCACTTCTGGTGGTATCTTGGCCCTTTTTTTCAATTATCTGAAGTCTGAACATCACAGAGAAAGGTGTTTACTGTACAATATGCCATCCTGGCTCCCAAAGATGGTTATTTAAAAAGTATTTTTCATACACCGTCTCAGGAAGGACATCTGTCCTTAGAACACAGCAGTTTCCCTATAACAAAGATGGTATTGCTATGACATTTGTTTCCTTCAAATGCATCAAAACTATTTGTGACTGATTTATAAAGAGCTTTACAGGTGAAATCATTGTTTAACTGTCTGAGTTTAAAACTGAACTCAGAAACAGAGACATACTTCTGAGGTGACCACTAATAGGTTTCTCATCTTGCCATCTCTGATAGCTGATTAATCAGAGGCCAAATTAATATATGATGAACAAACATCTATATACGCCGTTCAATGATGAAATATAAATAAAATGTAAAATTTTCCTTTATATAGATTGTCCTGAAATGTTCCTGTGACTTTAACAGTTCATGTAACTGGGGTTCATACACACTTTCATTAATCTAAGAGCACAGGAAAGCATGCAGAGAAGACAACTGTGAAAGGCAGCTCGAATGAGGAGAAGACACCTGAGAACAAACAGACCTGCATGTTTTCCTAGAGATTTTAATGCAGATTTAAATACAATTCTCAACAAATTAGCTAGGAAAGCACATAATGCATGTACAGTCTTGAAGTCTTTGGCAAAGGACAGATCAAGGCCCTAGATTCCTCTCATGGGACAAAGTCACTACACTTTGTTTCAGGTAGCTGATAACCTACAGAAAGAGAAGTGGGCTCCTGGTATTTTTCAAGCTAAACCAATCTCAGCTTTTCCTTCGGGTTTTGTCAGAACACATAGCAATTTAACCACCATTGATAAGCACAACTAATGGCTGGTGAACAAACTGTTAAAATCCACTACCATTTGAAGGGGATTTGAGGCTCACCTGTCTCAGGGGAGGATTTGCTGACACCTAAACCTCTGTTATTGAACAAGACACAGATGAAGACTGCTCCAGCTCTATCTGCCCTCATCAAAACCGAGCTATATGTCTACCTAGATCACCATTCCCAGGCAGCTACAGATAACTACATAGACTTAGACATGCCAAAACAGCTACACTAACACTTTTCCAATTGTTCAGAGCAGCTCTGGGATCTTTGCTGATTCCTGTGTTCACTCCCTCCCTGCACATTTGCTGAACTCCCCAGCACTGCTGCCACATGCCCCTCCACCCCACACACCCACCAATGAGCACTGGAAGGGCTCTCCCAGGGCCCTGAGCACTGCAGCAGGGCCCAGGGGAGGCAGCCTAAGAAAGACACAATGAGAAGTATCAGAAGTGGGGTGGGTGAGGCTACGTGAGCAGCTGCAGCATCTCCCTTTGGTCCCAAGCTAGAAGAAGGAATGTTTGTAACACTGTTGTGACTCCCTTCCATTCCCCTTCCTCTAAGTACTCTGTGTCCATCACTGAAGACTCTAGGACAGCCACCTACTAATACAGGTGTGCCCTGTCACCATAGAAGCTGCCACATCCTCCTCTCCTAGAGGGTGACAATGCTCTGGTCCTCTCCCCAAACATTAACTGTTCTGGACATTTCCCATGGTGACTGTTGGGCAGTGCAAAGTTTAAATGGGTCAAACCTGCTTTCCTCTCCTCAAACGTCTTCTCACTCTCAAACCTAGTGAGCAGAGCTGCTTCTCTGCAGGCAACTGAAACAACAGCTGTGAGATGAGATGGAGCACAGGCAGCCCCTGGGGGCAAAGGGGTGCCTTCACCCACGCAGGCTGATGCTCCTCTACAGTAAGTTATAGGCTGTGCGTTATAAGGCCAGAGCACCGCCAGCACACATGCACACACTGCCCCAGCTGCTAAGCAGCTTCCTCTGCTGACAGAGAAGCCAGAGGGAAGCCAGAGCACCTGCCAGCATTTTGCAGACAGTGTAAAGGTGAAGCCCCTCTAAGTCCCCCAATAACCCCAAACAATGAATCTCAAAGAGGCAGCACAGACCTCAGCACAGACTTAAATGTTCTTGTGAGCTACTACACACTCCTGCAGGGCAAAACAGACAGGGACTCATCAGCCAAGCAGCCAAGGATGCAGCAAGTCAGCTGCAGACCCTGCAGTCCACCCGACTGACACTGGACCTGTGCAGACCAGACACCCCTCTCTCTGCTCTTTTAACTCAGAACCAACAGCCCTTTTGGCTCTGTCCCGCTCTCACCCTCCTACCATTCATTACTCTTCTCCCCAAACCCTTCTTATCATCTCACTGCATCAATGTAGCTGAAATGAGGCCTCCAGTACCCCCATCTCATAGTTGGGCTTATCTTTCTGAGCAGTAATGACTGATAATGCTTGGCTCCCTAACTGCAGCCTTCAGATGAATTATCCACAGCACAGACAAAAGTTTTAGAAAGGATTTGGCAGCTCAGCAAGCAGCTAACACAGTGCACAGGCAGATGGAGGCTTCAGACTTGACAAACCCAGAAAAAGCTTTCAAAAGGCATGTCCCTGGCCCCAGGGAGATCCCTGCAGAACTAGAGCTCCTCATCCAGGAAACGGTGGGCTCTGGTGCTTTCCATACACTGTGGCCACCTTATTCTTTTTTTATTCACGAATGAAGCAATATACTCTTCCCTAGGTATATTCTCGGAAACCACCACTGTATTTTTTTTAAGTTTACAGAAATAATTCGGCCCATAGCAAACTTCAGAATGGAAAATTTCATGCAAAGTCATAAAACTTTGAAAAAACTGACCTCCTAAAACCGTGTTTTCAAAATGGAAAATACTATTTTTGCCTAACCCTCAGCAGCTCCACCTGCATAATACATAGAACTGTTCCTGGTTTCACTTGTCAATGAATTTTAGGGTTTTCCCCTTTGGTTTTTTTTGGCAAAATTTAAAAAATATTTCTGGAGAAAAGGAAACACGAAAAATGTCATCTTGCAGGCTAATACGAATATAAGGTCCCAGTTCATCAAACAAAACGTTTTGCTTCAACATTTCCACTTTTCAGGATTTTTACAGTAATGCTTTTCATTTTAAAAAGTGGTAATTCAAAATTTATTTTTCACTAAAACTGTTTTGCAAAGGCAGGGTGCAACCAGCATTTGCTTCCCTGCTAGTGAGGAAAAGCCTCTGTTGGCTCCATCCCCATCCCTCACCATTACAAAACTCTTTAACCCTGACCAAGCCAGTCTTCCATTAGAAGACACGGAAGTGCCAACACCATCACACACGTGTACCATCTCCCTCCACGTGAGTTGACCTGAGACCTTTTCTGAACCCCTGCAGCCACAGCAAATTGGAAAGAGCAGCAGTGTTGGCTTTTTATAGGGGGAGCATCAATACCCCGGACAAAGGCGAGAAAATATTTTCCTCACCACCTGAGTTAAGATTTGATCTTAGCAAACCTTAAACAAAGCAAAACACCTCTAAAAGAGGCGTGTTTATTAAAAAGCAAAGGCTATGTAGTTTGTTACTGCAGATCTTCTTGGGTAAATCAGCTTCCCTCTACCCATACAAATTCTTCTTCTATGTAGTTCTGCAATGCAGTCATGGTGACGTGTTCTTATCACATCACTCTCTAGCCATAAAAATAATCCTACCACAAACCTGAGCTGATTTCACCAGGAGCTCCAGCATGTGATGTTAGGAAGGAAAAAAAAAATAAAAAAAAAATCTGTGCATCCAAACACCACTGAAGATTTCAGAAACTAGGCAAACTAAGCTAAAATACCTGTATCTCTCGATGCAACGGCTCTTTGCTCACTCTGCAGATCAGATGTCTCCAAAGTATTCAGGCTTAAGCACTGACTTCTGGGGGATATGGGTTATTATCTGGATCTTTGAAGCTTTATCTCATTTGTACTTGGGACTAAAAAGAAACAAACAAAAATCTCAGTTATAATGCTGTTTATACATGGAAACCAGGAAGGCAGAACGGAAAGGCAAAAAAAGGTATCCACAAAGGGTTAAGCTAAAAGAACAAGCGGCCAAGTTCTCTGGAAAAAAAAAAAAATAAATAAAATCAAATGGACAGTAAAGCCTATTTCCTCCAAGCTAATAGAATTATAGAAATTATCATAAGAGCATGTGTCTAGGGATGGAGTGAATGATGCTCTGAGAGACAGGGCAAACAAGATAAACAAGCTTTGTGCCAAGAGCAGCTGAGCTGAACCCAGTCTGGTGCTCTTTCTCCCAGCACTAACTCTTAACACAGTTCTAAATGGGGTCATCGTTTATCTTTCCATAAAGCACCTATTGGGTACAGCCTCCTGCCCCACAGGGCTTCCCTTTCGCCATTTCCAAAAATGAGGGTGAAATCCCATATTTTTCTCTCTCCCCCTCCTCCCTCCTCACAGGCTGCCCAGATGTGTGCAACAACCACTGCACGCACAAGCCTCGCATCACCCAGTTGTTCAAGGACCGTGCGGAAACTGACGCATAAGTTCACAAGAAAGCTGATGGGCACCTGGGGAATGAGCCACTTTGCAAATCATGATTTTACAATTGAACTTCAAACACAACTCCCCATGCTCCGCCATCTCCTTTCCCCTGAACACTAAGGTTTTGTAGGATCAAGCTGGGATCCTATGCTCTTATTCCCCTTCCCAAATTTCACCTTTCTAATCCATGAAAGCAGGAACGGTCCAAAGACAGTTATGCTCAAGAGCTGTGGTCAAGTTAGGTCTCCAGCTCAAACCCCTGACTCTTGCCTGAACCCGGCCACTACATATATTCCTCTGGGCTTAGATCCTGGCAACAGT